TTCAGGTCCCTTCTCTGAAATATTGTCATCTAATGGGATCTAGGAAGTTATGCTTTTTCCATGGCTTATCCCTACCTTATGGAACACACTCCCCTGGCAATCTGGCAGCCCCCCCCCCCCCCGATAGCCTTCTAGAAAGCAAATAAAACTGCAGGCATTATGAAAAAGAGATGGAGCCTGCAGAGAATTGTTGGAGCACGCGAGGAGGTTGATGAAAGCAGTGAGTTTCTAGTTTTTTTTATGATTGTGAGCCACCCAGAGTTGTTTTGAAATAAGTGGCCATAAAAATCTTAAATTAAGGAATATATAATACTTTAATTTGATTCTATATGAAATCATAGAAAGTCTGAAAGAAACTTACTGTACTGCATGATACAATGAATGCATGCTGCCTGAGGGAACTGACAATCTCTGAAAAAGTTACAATCTCAATGACTTTGAAAAATCACTTTGCATGTATGCTAGCATTTTTTCTTAACAGCCTAATAAAGCTGCTTATTTTCTGCATCATGAACTAAAACATTCTTTATAGCAGTTTGTAACAACTTGTAATGTATGTATTTCAAGAAGAAATATTTATAACATTAGGGTTTCAATAAATCAGAACTTGAGAACTTAAATAGCTATGATCGGAATTAAAATGGCTAGTGCAAAACTTGATTTAATATTCAGTTTTCAAAAAATGCAGCATAATTGGTTTTCATGTATCATACTTTAAAATGTTTATTCTATTACAGTTTGATGATTAATGCAGCATAATGTCTATGATGTTAAGTTTTGTACCTCTATTTTATCCAACAGTTCTAAAATAATTATTAAAAGCTCATACTGTTTGTATCAAAATAAGTTTGTCAGTTTGATTTGATAGCTTGTAAAAAAAATGAAGGCAGAGAATGATCTAAAAAGTCTCATGGTTTTCCAGTGCTATAATGGGAAAACAAAGAGGCAAAAGTTGTTTTGTGCTAATAAAACGTGTAAGCATCACTAATATGCGTAGATACAGCTTTCTCGATAGTGTACATTAAAGAGGCTCTACTAGTTTGTCATCAATTACTATTTAAGTAAAAAGAAACAGAACCTCATCTTTATTTCATTGTTATACTTTGAATGATTAAACAGCCTTGAAAACAATTTCTATACATACTTGCCAACTATGAGGATAAACTCTTTTCAGTCAGAGCCATTTTACTTGCTCTTGAATGTTATGAAGAGGTTTGAGTAGATAAAATTGTGCCTTCTGCTGAGAAGTAACCATTGCCTATTAATAACTAATTGTTACCTGACACAGGTAGTCCTTGACTTAAAAACCATTCATTTAGTAACCTTTCAAAATTACAATGGCACTGAAAATAATGACTTATGACCATTTTTCACAGTTATGACTGTTATAGCATCCTCATGATGATGTGATCAAAATTTGGATGTGTAACAATTGACATATATTTATGATGGTTGCAATGTCCTGGGGTCATGTGATCACTTTTTGCAACCTTCTGACAAGCAAATTCAATGGGAGAAACCAGATTTACTTAACAAGCATGTTACTAACTTAACAGTGATTCACTTAACTGTGGCAAGAAAGGTTGTAAAATGGGGAAAAACTCACTTAACAACCCTCTTGTTTAGCAACAGAAAATTTGGGTGCAATTGTTGTCTTAAATCAAGGACTAAAAGTTACTTGATAAATAAATTGAATAATCCTGCAGATGTATTTTGAAATGGTGTCCTCCTTACCTTAGTAATGGCCACTGCTGATATGTCACATTGATAATTTCATCTGTTTGCACAACTATAGGTAATCCTTACTTAACAACAATTTGTTTAGTGGCCATTTGAAGTTACAATGGCATTGAAAAGAGTGACTGAAGATCAGTTTCCCATGGTCACATGATCAAATTACGGTACTTGGCAACTGGTATGTATTTATGACAGTTGCACTGTCCCAGGGTCATGTGATCACCATTTGTAATCTTCCCAGCCGGCTTCTAAAGTCAGTGGGAAAGCCAGATTTACTTAACAAGTGCAGTGATTCACTGTGGCAAAAAGGTAATAAAATGGGACAAAATTCACTTAACAACTGCTTTGCTTAACATTAATTTTGAGCTCAGTTGTAGTTGCAAATTATGGACTACCTGTATGCACTTATCTGGCTTAGCACCATGATTGGATTATTTGTTTATTAAATGTCTTTGAGCACTTTAGCTTGAGGTTCCTATTTAATACACTTGGAACAAGTCAGAATATAATGTATTTTCTTAGATCTAAAAAACCATGTAACTCCCTGCTTTGTTGTATTTCCATAATCAATTGATTTAAAATACAGGCTGACATGAATAGTTTGAACTTATCAAGTGAAGTTGACAATTAGTCAAGGAATTCACTTGGTACATTCTACCAGAGGAATCTAGGGTGAGAGAGGACAGTATTGAAGAAACAATGTTGATTCAAGTGGTGTTTTACCTCAAGAATAAGTAAGAGATCTCTGGAAGATGTCAGGTAATTAATGAAGTACAAGATGGTGTAGGCCAGGGGTACCCGTTTGCCACCGAAAACAAAACACTGGGAGTCGCAAAACCCTTTTGATATCTAAAATGAAGATAACACTGCATATAGCCTTTTTTACCTTTATTATATATATATATATATATAATATATATAATAAAAAGGTAAAAAAGGATATATGCAGTATCTTCATTTTAGATGTCAAAAGAGTCTCTCTGTCTCTCTCTCCCTCCCTCCCTCCCTCTCTTTCTATCTCTCTTTCCTCTCCCTCTCTCTATCTCTCTGCGATCTTCTGCTCACCTGGCAAGCTGCCTTCAAGCTGTTCTCCAACAAGCTGACACACATTCTTATTGGGCTAGCTCAAGGGTAGGCAACCTCGGCTCTTTTATGACTCATGGAGTTCAACTCCCAGAATTCCTGCATCAGCATAACTGGGCTAGCTAGCTCTCTCCTGCCATTCCTGCTTCCTGCAGAGACGCAGCAAAGGGAGGAGTCCCGCCCAATAAGCTTGTCAGCTCCTCGGAACAGGGTGAGGCTACTCTCTTTTTTACACACACAAACAGAGAGAGGGAGGGAGGGAGAGAGAAGCTCTGTCTCTGTCTCTCTGCAAATGGCAGAGGAGGCTGGGAGCCGCAGGGGAAGGCTCAAAGAGCCACATGTGGCTCCGGAGCCTCAGGTTGCCGACCTGTGGTGTAGGCCAACAGCTAAAAAGGAACCAAATTTGTATTGGTTGTATGGCTGTTTCCAGTAAAAGTATATGACAGACATGTCAAACACAAGGCCCGGGGACCGGATGCGGCCCACGAAGTGGTTTCATGTGGCCCATGAAGCCATCCTGGAAACAGTGAGGGAACAGCCCCTCTGCCTTGGCCCTGGCCCAGGCCAGCTGGGAGCCAATGTACAATTTTGTCGTGGCCATCTATGCTGAAACGCATTCAGTCTTAGCTCCATAAGCCCCCCCCCGCATGGCCTGAGAGGAACAGTGAGGCTCCTACAGTGGACCATGCCTTGGCACTTGCCCTTGTCCCATCCCCTTCTGCCAGAGACCCTCAGATCTATCCCACTCCTGCCCAGGCCCCCACAGGCAACCTTGATGCGAACGATGTAGAGCTGGCCACACCCATCCAGTAGGCCACACCCACTCCATCCACACCCACCCAGTAGGCCGCACCCGCCCAGCCCCCTGAGGGCAACCGCAACGCTGATGCGGCCCTCAATGAAATTGAGTTTGACCCCCCCTGGTATATGATGTTCTCTACAATTATAATCCTAAATCATTTTTTCTCACACAAACCAAACTAAAATCAAATTTGCTCACATAGCAGATAAAGTAACAGATATCCATTAGGAATTGCTTGAAACTGAAGATGGAGATTTATTTACCAAATAGTTCTATATAAGAACCAAATAATATAAAAAGCTAATATTTTGGGAAACTTGAATTAGAACAACTTTCCTTGCTATATTTCTATATTCAGGAAATGTATTTGTAAAATACATTTCTAATCTAATCTCATTTACTAATCTAAAGGAATCCTGAGCCACTATGATGACAAAATCCTGCTGACAGTGATTAGCGATCATCAGCATTTGAAACATTCCTTTAATTTACAGTTCATGAACTTTTACTTGGATAGGCAACAATTTATTGCTTTTAACATTGCTTTTCTAAAAGAGGCACCATATTCTCAAAATAAATGATTATATAAGATAGTTTTGTTTTCATTTTTGTAACTTTCACCTGTATTTTATTTCACCATTGAAATCCTCTTTTTAGCCATGTAAGATGTAGTGGAAACATAAAATATTAGTGGGAATGTTTAGTGAGAAATTTTTCAACAAAATATTACATTAGTAATAAACATATTATTTGAAAATGCTTTTTTAGGACCTAGTCTTCTGCAAGAATACCCCAACTGGCAAAAAATTGCTTGGCTAGCACTGTTTTTAAATGTGTTAATGAAACAGAATGTTATCCCAGTATTCAAGGAATTATGGGTACTCCTAAAATAGCGTGCAAAATATCTTGCACTGATTCATATAAGGATTTTTAGGACCATTGACATTGTACATAAACAGACTTTTGTGGTATAGTCATTTTCATTCTTGAAAATTTAGCTCAGAAGAGCTAGTTTCCTTACTTTGGAAACGATGCATATTTATTATTAAATTTGTATGTTGCCTGACTTCTAATGACTATGAATGGCTCTCAAGTAAAAAATTATATTTTCAATACAATAAAAACAAAAAATACAATATAAAAGTTAGCAAGATGATAGCACTGAAATGGAATGGAAAAATAGAATTCAGGGAGGTTTCACTCGCTGTCGCAAAAGGCCTGGAAGGAGAGCCAGGTTTTCAAGCTCCTTCAAAATACCAACAGGTATGGTCCATCTGGATCTCAGGGAGAACCTCATTCTAGAGGGCACATGCTACTCCAAAAAGGCTCATATCCGGGGTCCTCATAGATGCCATTGTTTAATTGAAGGAACCTGCAGCGCACTAACTCTGCCACATCAAATTAGCCAGGCAGATATATGGAAGATTAGTACTACCTGAAGTAACCAGGCCCTGTATCTGTATAATGAAACACAGAAGTTTCATTCCCAGAGTTGCATGCTAGTAATGATTTTTTTTTAAAGTTAGATGCATTCCTGAAGGTTGTCTTTTTTAATAGGAGTTGGAAGAATCTCAATATAAACAGGTAGTCTTTCCTCAGTGCCATTGCTGGCATTTGGACAAATGCTGCCTTTATCCCTGCTTCTTGATATTCAGAGGCATAACATTTTTTTATCATTGCAAATAGACATCTTGATTATCAAGATTGATTTAACTGAACCAGACAATGTTTTAAGTTCAGTGGAGGCAAAGATATAACAGGTATTCTTTATGGGAATGTGCTTTGGGGAAACACAGTATAGCTTGTATGAATTAAAGAAAACTCCTAACATTTTTGCATAGTCTTAACTTAAAAGAACAGGTAATATCCCTAAAAGCACAGCTTCTTTCAGTTGTTGGATGTTTATCTTTATACCAAGTTTGATGGTATGAAGCCAGTGAGTTCTTTGTTTGCCCCTTCTTGATCCACTAATCATTCCTAGCATCATTGACTTCTCCAATGAATTTGCATGGATGACATGTCCAAAGTAAATCAGACTACATCTTCTAGTGTTTCTGATTTTATAACATACATACGTACATACATACATACATACATACATACATACATACATACATACGTGTATTGATGTATTTATAATTAAATAAAATATATAACTTAATAAAATAAAAGCCTCTCTGTGAGAGAGATGTACGTATAATAAGCTTGGCATTATATATCAATAATTTTAAGTTATTTAAGTTGCTTTGGATAGTGAGATGGGCAGCATATAAATTTAATTAAAAGTATTTGTAACTGAAGGATATATTTAAAAATGTTTTATATTGATATGAAATGTAGTAGATGTTTTTCTGAAGCAATTGAAATTTGTACCGGTTAATTCCACAGATAAGTTTGTACCAGAATGACATATTATAGTGATAGCCTTGAAAGTATTTGTCTAGAAATTATAACCCCTTCTTTGCCAACTAAGAAATTGAAATTAGCCAGCTGGAATTAGTACTAAAAGAGCACACCCAACTATTAACCTACCAAAATGGAGGTCGGTTTTCCTTTAAAAGCTGTCTCCTAATTTTTTCCCACAATTTACAGATAAGGGGAAGATCATAACTAACTGTAAACCTGATGCAGCTGTAAAATTAACAGATGAAGATCTGAGAAAATTCTTGGCAATGAAAACTTTGGTAATGTTTCCTCAGAAGGCACAGTTTCCTTTTGAGAGAAAGCCAGTTTTCTCTTCCACAGAAGGATTAGGGAAGAGGTTAACAGATGAAGAGTCCTCCTCTTCATCAAGTTCTGAATCAGGCTCTAGCTCTGATTCTGAAGATGATGAATTCAAAGAGAAGCCACACAGACAAAAGAAACTCTACGGCACAACCGATAACAAGCAGTTAAAATCGGATATGATAAAAACTGCTTCAAAACAAAGGCCTAAAGAAGTACCAGTACATTTAAAGAGCAAGAAGCTAGGAATAGTGAATGCAGAGAGTCAAAAGCCAACAGAAGTTTCATCTGAAAGCCTGGAAGTACCTCTCTCTAAAACTGATCCACAGAGAACTCGGCTGGTACCTCCACAAAATATATCACAAAATCTGGAACAGGATGAAAACATTACACAGAAAATGCAAAAAACTGAGATGCAAGACAGAGTTTTTGAAGAACCAGGGCCTGAAGTTTCAAGGGAAAGAATGCCTGTAATAAAAACCACCCTGAAGGAGGAGATCATCCCAGAAGTGGAAGCTCAAATTGAAGAACAAAGCACTCCACAGGGTATCACTTTATCTTCTTCTGCATTAGTTCTGTTGGTTGAAAGGAATTATATAAGCAAATGTCCTATATTCTGACTTTCCCATCATTTGAAGCAGTGCTTTAAAATGTTTCTTTCCGCTTTCCTAATGTACTTTCCGAAGAAGGCTTTTTCACATTACTCACAAACTGTTATACTCTTTTGCAGTTACGTTCTCTGATTCTCCCATTAAGCTTTAAAGGTGCTGAGGAAAGATTTGGGGAAGGGGAGGAAACAACATTCTATCTTTGCTATTTTCTCTTGTTTGAAGTATTAAGGGAACTTAAAACATTCAAAATTGTGATGACTGTGTGAAAATGTCTTCATAAAGGAAATGAAAATGTTGTCCCTACTTGCTAAAGCACAGCCTATAGACTTGTGATTGACCTGTTTTCAGACATTTCTTCTATCTATCTGTACTTGCTCATAGCTTAATGTTGCTTTTTGTTTTTGGAACTTGCTGTTTATGTGGTACTTTTCACTCTTTTTCACGCCTTCTTGAACCTTGTGATACATACATAAATACAGAGAGATAGAGATACATACATCAGTTCTGTAAGGAAGCAAGTTTACTTTGACCTTGTCTGTAGGTCAGCAAAGTTATCACTGTTAGTGATTTAATCATTATAATGCATGTTTGCGTCAGATGGTTTTCCTTTCTGCTCTCATTGCCTTCATCCTTTAATATTCTTAAAATATTCTCTTAATCTCAAAATACCCAAATAAATTCTTAAAGTAAATATCATGTTCTTCAAATTGTGAAAACCTCCCCATGAAGCTTTCCCTGTCCAGATAATGTTCATTTTTCTATATTTTAAATTCTGTAGTATATATCAATATGATTTTTAACATATATTATTTTCAATAATCTATCCATTTATAAATACAGAAAAAATAGTAGATACCAGTTGTAATATGAATTAACAAATAAAACTTGTAATTCAGTATGCATGTCAAAGTGATAAATATCCTCAACGATTTTGAAGTTTATTACCTAACCACCACCACCCAAATCTTCAATTATTTTGAGTTCCAGAAGGGGGCAGCCTTGGAAAGATAATGGCAGAAAAGACATGGCCTGGCTCTCTTTTAGTTTAGCTTGGCTAGTCTAGAAAATTAGAACGGGAGATTAGAGAAGGTAAAATTTGTAATTTCTAAAGATGACTATAAATAGTCTTTTAAAGTGTAATTCTATATAGATATAGCATTGATAAATGTAACTAAAAGCCATAGATAAATATTACTAGGCCAACATTTCAGTGGAAAGGCTTAAACTATTACTAAATGTTGCTATAAAAATACCGTATATTGAACACTGAGGAGTACATATCCAATTATTCCCTGTATATTTACATTTATCTAAAATGTTTTAAACACTACTAACAGAAATCATTGGAAAAATATTCCATTTTACAGATAGTCCTCGACTTACAACAGTTCATTTAGTGACCATTCAAGGTTTACAATGGCACTGAAAAAAGTGACTTACAACCATTTTTCACACTTAAGTCTATTGCAGCAACCCCATGGTCATGTGATCAAAATTCAGATGGTTACAAAAGCTCATGGAATGAGCAGAGATGGCTAAATTGACTGTTTTGGTAAAAGAAAAGAACATATATACTTTTGTTTCTACCTGGAAACCGCTTCTAGACTTTGTGCTTGAGGTGGAAAAAAATGATACTATGATTTTGGGTTTTACTGATTAGATTGATTTGTCGATACAGAAATGGCTAGTTTATATCACTATAGAAACGTAAAAAGTTGAGATTCGATCTTAATATTTTATTTTACTGCAACAGAGGGAGTCGGAAGTCAACACCTTTTGTTTCTTCCCCTCCCCTTCTCCACACTTTTTCATCTTCCCTTTTCCTATTGTCGTCCCTTACTATTTGCTTTTGTAGTTTCATATTTTATGTTATAAATAAATAAAATTATTTTTTTAAAAAATTCAGATGCTTGGCAACTGCCCCATATTTATGACGTTTGCAATGTCCTGTGGCCATGTGATCCCATTTTGCGACCTTTTGACAAGCAAAGTCAACAGGGAAGCAAGATTACCTGGTTACCTCCGAGACCGCCTTCTGCCACAGATTACCTCCCACCGGCCGATACGCTCCCACAGAGAGGGCCTCCTCAGGGTGCCGTCAACCAGACAGTGTCGGCTGGCGACCCCCAGGGGGAGAGCCTTCTCTGTCGGAGCACCCACCCTCTGGAACGAGCTGCCCCCAGAGATCCGGGTGATTCCGGATCTCCC